GGGCACGCCCGAGCCGCCCGCCAAGTCTCCGGCTCCGTCGCCAGCCCAGGCTCCGGGGCAACCTCCCGTGCAAGTCCCGAGCCAGCCGCAGGCCGCGGTCCTTCCACAAGGCCAGTCCCAAGTCCAGCCTCAGCAACCAGCTCAGGTGCAGACTCCAACCCAACAACAGATTCAGATGCAGCCCCATGCTCCCATACAAATTCAAGCTCAGCTGCAGCAATCGCAACCTCGGGTTCAGACCTCGGTCTCGACCCTTCCAACTACTCAAAGTTTAAATCAGGTTCCTGGGCAGTCCCCAGCTCGTCCTCAGCTGCAACTTCAGCAGCCTCCAACAAAAGTTATTACAGTGCCTCAGCTTCAGCAACAAGTCCGAGTTCTCTCTCAGCTTCAGTCACATGTTGTGGCTCAGATACATGCCCAACAAGGCAGTGTGCCCCAGCAGATCAAGCTGCAGTTACCTATTCAGATCCAACAAACTAGCCCAGGACAGGCTCACCAGATTCAGAATGTGGTAACAGTTCAAGCAGCTAGTGTTCAGGAGCAGCTGCAGAGAGTTCAGCAGCTCAGGGAGCAGCAACAGAAGAAAAAGCAGCAACAGATAGAAATTAAACGTGAGCACACCCTTCAGGCTTCTAATCAAAGTGACATTATCCAGAAACAGGTAAAGTTAACAGAAGGAAATGGAAACTTAATGAATGAAGCAAATCTCATTTTAAATGCCTGTTCTTATTAACAATGTTAATACATTTGATAGGCAGTGAACTTGATTCTTTCAAAGCTAGTGCACGACTGCTTTTGGCAGTTTAATTAAATATTCTGAGTTAATTCAGCACATGAAGTCAGTTGTACCATGTTTGAAGTCTTCTGGCATCTCGACTCAACTTACCACTAGCTGCTGGGACAATATATCTTTATTTTCAGCTCAGGAATGACAGGTTATAGGTAGGAGAGCTGACATTCAGAACACATGTATGGTGCTTCCATTGCCTGCTGTAGGAAACTGAGGTTTCAAAGAGGTATCTGAAATGTAATGCTGTTGGATGGCTGCGAGGCTTAAAAGAAAAAAAAATTGACTTTTACCATTTTTTAAAAATGAACAACCAGTCACTGAAGAAATATTATCAGTTTACATTTGGTCCCTAGGTTTAAACTCAACATAAGCAAAATATCCTTCTCTGTGGATCCTACCTGTGGCAGGGGTGGTGGGGGCTGGTGGTGCTAGTCTTCAGTTTCATTTTCAAATAATTCCTTTAAAAAGCATTGGTCCCCTTACAAAATAAGTTTTATTTTGTCACTCACAGAAATAAATAACACTTTAACTTCTTTAACGTAGGAAATGTCCTGGTTCTCCCAGTGATATTGTGAAATACTGGCTAAAGTTTTCATATTTTATTTTGGATTCTGTATTATCCTGCAGGTGGTTATGAAACAGAATGCTGTCATAGAACACTTGAAACAGAAGAAAACACTGACTCCAGCTGAGAGGGAAGAAAATCAGAGGTGAATGTGCATCACAGTGCATCTTTAGATGTGAAAGTTTTACACTTCTAACACCTTTAATGGTGGTATAAAACAACATTGGTTTGTAAAAACCTGCTTAAAGAAATACTGCTTTTTTAAAATTGGCTAAAGTAGAACTCAAATGTAACTTTCATAATGATGTTCTTAACTTTAAGTAATTGAATCTGGTGTATTCTCGATTTTATTTTGTTTACATGTTTTTGAAGTGAAATGTATTGTGTGTGTTTGGAGCTGGCCACAGTTCTTAAATTCAGGGCAAAAGCCATCCTTCAAGGAGCACAGAATGCAGAATTAATGATTCTGTTGCAAAAAAAGCCTGGATTTTGTTTGTCCTTTATCATGGCAGTTTGCTTCCATTCTTGCCCACTGTCCATCCTGCTCTGCAGAGGGAGTTGAAGAGTTGGAGGGTAGTGCTGTTTGACCAAGTAGGAGAGTTTATGCTTGAAGCTGCTAAATGCAGGTTTGGAGCATTTGTCGTTTGCCTGCGGATTATTTTGGCTCCTTTTCACTCATGCAGTTCCTTCAGTTAGATAATTGTGTGTGTGTTGTCAGGTAGTAAGAAAAAGCGATTTTTATAACATTTTGATCGTTAGATCAGAGTACAAGCTTTAAGTGATTACAATGTGCTACTCCATATTTACAGTCACATAAAGAATATGATGTATTATCATATACTCTTCATTTAGTGATATCAGACACCCAAATCGATATTTACACTGACAGAAATCCAAATAAGGAAGAAAAATTCATCAAGATGTCATCAAAATACAGATGTGGATCAAAAGACAGTATGTCTGAGCCCAAGACTACAGTGTTAGCAGCAGCTAATTGTCCCAGCCATGGCTATTTTGTTGTTTGCTTTCAGCTCATAGTCAGTGGGATTTCTTTCTCATGGTCACTGGCAACAAAAAATATTTAGTTTTCTCTTCTCATGGGTTTGAAATAGAATGGGAATGGAAAAGTAAATTCAGAAGAACCAAAACACATTCCTTTTTCTAGTGGAAATACAAAGCTAAATAAATTAAAATCATAAGAAAAGTCAGCAGGAAGAGAGATTTTGTAGTCGAGTGTACAACAGGCAACTGAAAAATAAATCTTGATTTGTCATTAAAAAGAGTGAATAATAAGAAGAAATTTGGAACCATTTTATAGTAAATTCTATCCACTGAAAGGTATCTGTCAGTCCTTATGCCAAAATACAAAAGCGTAGTAGTGTTTGGTGGTCACTGGAGGATGGAAACATATGTTTTAGAAGAAGTTAAAGGCTTCCAACTTATTTTCATCCTACATCAGAATAAACAAAATCCATCTCTTTGAAGTGTATTTGTGGGAACTGAACTGAGTGAAAACCTCTTGTTGTACTAAAGCCTACACTTTCTTAGGGCCCTTGTAGGGGAAGGGGACGAACAATCAGTATTCAGATCAGTTAAATGAAATTGGGACTGGCCCTCTTGAGCCTGACTAGAGACTTGATCTTTCCCAGTGGTGTTCTAGTAAATAAATGAGAGTGGGAGCAATGTGTGTTACTAAATCTACCCTTACCTCTTAAAAAAATGTAATAACTGAGCTTGCAACTTGCAGAGGCTGGAGAATTAAGTGATGCAGCGTTCTCAACTGGGGATGAAGAGGCAGCTCTGCACAATGTCATTTTTCTTTATTTCTTCCTCAGAATGATTGTGTGCAACCAAGTGATGAAATATATTCTGGATAAGATAGACAAAGAAGAAAAACAGGCAGCTAAGAAACGGAAGCGAGAAGAGAGTGTGGAACAGAAGCGTAGCAAACAGAATGCTACTAAGCTCTCAGCTCTGCTTTTCAAGCATAAAGAACAGCTGAAAGCTGAAATACTGAAAAAAAGAGCACTTCTGGACAAAGATCTACAGATTGAAGTGCAGGTAAGGACAGTTATTCTCAAAGACTAGAGTGATTTTAAGCTGGGGAGAACATTTGTGACTTAACCTTAAATTTGTCTGCTCAGTGAGATTTTAAGGAAAGATGCAGGAAGAAGTTCTGGCCGTGGATGCATGGATCTCTGCGAAGCTAGTATATGTCCTTTTTGTGCTTCTTGGTTTCCAGCTGGACTGAAATTACCTTCTTTCTTGAAACAGCCTCTGATAATACGGCCAGCAGGTCGTAGTAGGCCAAGGGCATCATTCCTTAGTGTTATGTGGGTTGTAGGTGAAGCACATGAAAACTGTGCCTACTGAAATGGCTTTAATGATTCTCTTTTGGTTAAGTGTGGGGATCCATGTCTAGATTTTTAACCCTGTCCTGAAATAATCATATGAAGTGCCTGCCTCTCTATTTATTCGTTTAATGTACTTCAGGAGGAGCTAAAGAGAGACTTGACTAAAATTAAGAAAGAGAAGGAGAAAGCCCAGGCAGCAGCTGCTG